TTAGCATTCGTCAGGTGCATTTTCTGAGTTAACACCGCTTATGTAATATTTCTGTTTGTTACGAGATATTTATTGCCGAGTGGGATTATTATTGTTGTTAAAATATTTAAATGAATTGTCGTTTAATTCGGGATTTGAATTTAGGCTCAGATTAGTATTTAAGATTGAAAATAAGTTTGAAAATATGAATGATAAATTCTAATTTGAAGAGACGCTGTTATCAAAAGGAAAGCATAAGAAAAAAAAGTTTGAATATTAAGGGGGGGCAACTCTATTTTTCCCATGAAAATCAAAAAGTTATTAATAATATTATTAATATTAATATTAATAAAGTAAAGAAGATTAATGAAATCAATAATAATAAAATATGCCGTGATAAAATAAAATTAAAATTGAAGTACTAATAAAAATAATACATATTAATGAAAATAAAATAATATAATATAAAATAAGATAAAATAAAACAGAAACATATAAATATGTAAATAAATAGAGCAAATAAATAAATAAATAATAATGATAATAATAATAATAAATGTAATAAAAAGCAAAAATAAATATAAATAAGCTACTAATAGCAAGAATAAAGGTAGGATCAAAATTTGTAGAGATATGATAATGGAAATAATGGATTAGGAAAATAGTTAATTGCTTTACAGTCTAATAGTTGTATAGTAAAGGTAGAAAAAAGTAAAACTATTAATAAAATAAATATCAATATTATGAATAAAAATGACAATAGGAAAATCCACATTATAATAATATGGCCCCTAATTCCGGCTAGACTATACTGTTCTGGTTCAACGTGTCACAGTAGAAATTTGCATCTAGGTACTCATTAAATCATTTTATATCTAGTGCCTTACCCGCTTTCGTTACTGATTCCCAGATGATAATTGAGTTTTTATTTTCGCTTTTCAGTTTCTAGAAAAATTTAGAGAGGGCAGTGCTGTAACTATATTTGATATTGCCTAATGTCATGTGGTGGTGGTAGAAGCACGATTTCCAATGGTTTTCCATAGAACCCACATATAACTTGGTCTCGTTGCCATATCTGGTTTCAGATTTATAAACTAACGATTTAGACATACATTTGCCGTTTAATGAGCAGGGTTTGTTTTTTCTGTAGTTTCAATGATTAGTTGAAGGGATGTTGTTTTGAAGGTTGCTGAAGTATATGTTTAGAGTGTAACAGTTTTCTTAGGCTATATATTTGTCGATGTTTTTAGCACAGCTGTATCTGGTACATTTACCTATATTTATACATTTCGTTACACACACACACACACTCACATATATATATATATATATATATATATATATATATACATATATATATATATATATATATATATATATATATACAGTATATATTAATAAAAAATATACGTGTTTTTCTCACCGCTACAATTGCGTCTAGAGATGTGCTAATTATGAAGAAAAATTTATATTTATTATTAATATTAATTATGGTTCTGTTAATATATATATATATATATATATATATATATATATATATATATATATATATATGCACTATTTAAAAACTATTTAAAAAAATAAACTAAAAAATAAGGAACTTTGGATTATTTACCTAACCAGTTCCTTCCTATTTTCTATATATTTTCACACACACACACACACACACACACACACACACACACACACACACACACACACACACACACACACACACACACACACACACACATATATATATATATATATATATATATATAGTGAAAAACCTTTTAAAATAGCATACTCTCTCCTCGAATTTAGAAACAAGTTTCTTAGTTTCAGGAAGGTAGTTTAAAATCAGAAGCGCCTCCGTATGCACTGGTATATATCGCACATTAATGCTCTATGGAAGCACAAAGGTAGTCATCGAGACCATCAAATGTGTAGACGTATCTCAATTGGGTCCATTATCGTGAGAATACTAATGAAACTTATATTAACTAGATTCACACCGTTCTAAGAAAGCCAGCTTCTAACGACACAATTTATTTTCGTTCTGTTGAGGAGTGTAATGATAGCATATATGTCATCAAACAACTCAAGCAAATTGAATACCGTTCCAATATAACATTTTATACCTGATATGTAGACAGTAGCACATGACCACATCAATAGTGATCTCTTCTTTTCAATAGAAACCGGTTCCATTAGAAACCGTCTTCCAAGCTCTGGCTCCACTGAATGACAAGATCTGATAGAGGAACTATATCAGTGGTACGTGTGTGGTAGTAAATGGTGCAACCAGTCGATTCCGAGGATGCCAGTCTACTAGGGTGGCTAGCTAATCCCCATTTCAGAGGACTGCTCAGGCACATTTATGTTTGTTCAAACTGTGGTTTATACCACAACTATGCTGAGCTGACCTTAGTTACACTTTTAGGGAGAGAGCGCGTTATCTAGCATGATTAACAGTTTGAACACGCTAAAAGCCTCGGTCACAATGACTTGTGACTTCGTGCTAGCACAAACACCGACGGCTCCCTAGGGTCTACCCAATTTCACTCACAAAGCTAGGGTCAACCTGTGGTATGGTTTTCAGGTACTTTCCTAAGGTGCACGTTGGGATCGCCTCCTCCCCACTGATAACATCAAGATCTCAATTTCCAGACAAATCGACCATGGTGAGAGTTGAACATGGATCTCACGAGAAAGTGAACATTCTAACCACTAGGCCACGTGCTTGTTACGTGTCCACTGAAAACCCGGAAAATACGGAAACACTTCAAAATTCATCAAGAGAACAATGAGCAAGTGAGAGATCCAATCAATTTCATCTCTTCCTAGACTATACTCTGCACAGATGTGGAGAGATGGGCACTGATCATGAAAGCATTCCATACCACATCCCTACTTTTTTAAAATAATTTCACTCCAAGCAAGACGATAATGCCACTAAGACGCAAGGAGATCTACTAGGAATGGAAGAGAATGAGAGAACTTTAGTTAGGGGAAGGGATAATAAAAGAACAGTATTCAAGAAGACAGAAAATAGCGTAGAAAAAAGAAAACCGTAGGTTGAAGGGAAGCAAGAAACTGGAAGAGAGTTCCAGAAGTGAGAAATACAAGAAAAGAAACAATTAGAATAATAAGGAATGTCGGAAGTATATATAAGAGCAATCTGGAGAATCAAGAGACAATTTCCTTGTCAATGGGAGATTTTCATTAATTACTGAGTCCATACATATAGACACTAGAATTCTTTCGATAGAAAGGAATATAGCAAACAGAATTCCCTTCTTTTCCAGCTGATAGGTCCTTGCGAGGACCATCCTTCTTTGAACATCTTGGACTACTTCGATAAAATAACAAAGAACTGTTCCAAATAACAGAAACCACATCACTTGAGGACTTTCAACAACAGCAATAAGTGGAAGAGAAAATATATGACATAATTAAGATGTTGAAGTTCCACACCATTTCAAACAAAAGGTTAGGAAGGAACACCCCCTCGATACTGGAGAAAACAGTAATATTTAGTGGACATGAGAAACCTGTTTTTCTGATAAATTATTTTCACAGAAATATTTTATAAATTTCAACTGACAGAACACTAGTTGCTTGGTCAATGAATGCCTAATGTTTCCTTATAAGGAAACGGCTAGTATTACTTTTCTTTAAGTTTAAATTTTGACCAGATCTATTAAAATAAATGATGCATTGAATGGTTTATTGGTTTGTAAAAAAGACTTTTTGTATTCATATATTATTTTATTTAAATTCCTAGATGGTTCGTCTATGTATTTTGGGGGATATTTTATTCGCTCATATATGTACGTTGATGCGAACAAGTAGTCTGTAGCATTACTAAAGATTTTAAATTGGCTAAAAGCCTTAATAATACTTTTAAATACATTTTCTCATGGTAACATTCGTCATTTCTTATGAAGATTGTATTTCAACTTAACTGTAAATGAAATAAATTTTCCTGTCTTTTTCTCCTATTCTCTCATTTGTATCTTGTCATTTCTCCGAACGTTTATTGTTTTGCTTCTCTAGTCACAGGAATAAAATTGTTTAATCGCCCATCATTGATCATGTGACATGGCGGCTTTAGGTCTCAAATATTTCATTTCAACACTTAGTCTTTTTTTTCTTTTCTGGCGGAAATGAATATTGGTTTTTATATTCACCAGCTGGTTATTGTAATGTTTAGTTCGGTAATTGGTGGGAATTTGGGAGAATATTGGCGAAAATGAAAGGACAGATGGCTGAAAAAGATCTAGATGTTGGTGAAAAAAAGTAAGATAAAAAGAAGTAGACAATTTGAAGTTATATAAAAATGAGAAAGAGGCGGAAAATGACTAAAAAAATTTATATTTGAAAATGTTCTTTTTGATATGCTTCTAAGTTTATGTTGGAGTTTTACTTTAATTTAACTTCTTTCATTGCTTTTGTTAATATTTCTGAGATGAGGTATTATAACTATTTATATTATTCGAACTGGTCCAGTGGGTAAAAGCGTTGTTTTGTGAAGTATTTCAGTGACATGGCCGAAAGTGTTGCAAGTTCAGTAACTAGCCACAGCAAAGGGAACAAAAACTTGGAAAGTTGAGTTATTAAATAGAAATAACTGAATCTGAGATATCTACTAGGGTGGACGAAATAAAGGGTTCGGTTCGAAATTCCAGCCTATATCACCTGAAGAAGGCCGGAGCGTACAACGACCGAAACGTCGTGAATATGACAATAAAGATAAGGATAACAATCCGAACAATGGAAAGAGTTTTTTTTTGTTTTTTATTTTTGTTTTCTATTTTTCTTCCTGGACGTTTATTTTTTAATTTTTTCTTCTTAAGTTTTTTTTTTTAATTTACTGTTTTGCCGTATTTTCGCTTTCTTTCTTTCTTTCTTTCTTTCTTTCTTTCTTTCTTTCTTTCTTTCTCCTAGTTTTTTTTTCTTTCTAGATTTTCTCCTCTATTTTCTCTTTCGCTGTGTTTTTTCTCTCTTTGTTTATTTCTAGCTTAGCTTTATTTTCTGGCTTACGGCCACACCACGTTGAAACACAGGTTACCGTAAGAATACCGAAGTTATGTAACGTCGAGCCCGGTCAGTACCCAGATGGTTGACCATTTTGGAATATCAGGTGCTGTAAGCTTAGATGTGCGGGTGGTGTAATGGATAATGGCTTGGAATTGCTAATCAGAGAGTCGAGTTCTAAATCCTGTTGAGTTTATTATATTCACTTACGCGCAAATACCTTTAGGAAAGATATGAATCCACCACTTCTGCCCCCTGCTACGAGTTAATTAGTATCACACACACAAAATATTCTTACAATTTAGAAATATTTTCTGGCTTTAAATAACCTGCAAAGTGTTGATAAGATGTACAAAACGAATCAATCAATGATTCGCTACACAAGCATGTCTTTTATATTTATTTACATAGTCTGGAATATAAATGTATAGAAACTATCGTGACCACAAAGTGAGGGATTAGTTTATATATTGGTTACAATATAAAATCGATCTCCCACTTTAGGACCACATTATAATTTTTCGTTTGTTTATCAATTTCTGATTAGGAATGAATCTATCTCCTCCCCAGCTGTAGATTAATAAGTAAGACTTGTATCACGAAATCATATTTATCTTCAAAAATAAATTCTTCAAATATAAAAAATATTTTCTGGCTTTAAATAATCTGCAATGAGTTGAAAAGCCGTGAAAATAAAGAATTAATCTTTTTTTTTCTTTTTATTAGTTTTCTTTCTTAATTTTACACGTTTTTCGACGACTTGCAAATGTAAGCGGACATTTCTTCTTTTTCTTCTTCTACTTCTTTTTCTTCTTCGTCTTCTTTTTCTTCTTCTTTTTCTTTTTCTTTTTCTTTTTCTTCTTCTTTTTCTTCTTCTTCTTTTTCTTCTTTTTCTCCTTCTTCTTCTTTTTCTTCTTCTTCTTTTTCTTCTTTTTCTTCTTCTTTTTCTTCTTCTTCCTCTTCTTCTTTTTCTTCTTCTTCTTCCTTTTTCTTCTTCTTCTTTCAGCTTTTGTTCAGTCTATTCTCATATTATTTCATTACTTCTCTTTTCAACATCATTCTTTTTTGTTCTTCCCCTTTTACTTTCCTTTTCCTTTTGTTTTCCTCTTCATTTTTCATCGGTCACATTTCTACCTATTTATTTTCGCTTTTCCCATAATTCTCAAATTTAATTTCATACTCATCAGACATCGCCGCCTTCCTAGACCGCAGCAAACTCTTTGTATTCTACTACTGTAATTGCAAGTAAATATATTCATGAAAAGATAGAAAGATAAAGACTTACAACGTCAAAGAGATCATTAAAAAGACAGATTGTTTGTAGATCGACTTCTAAGGAGATGATTAATGCTAGTCAGAAATATAGGCAGACAAGTAGATTGAAAGATGGCAGAAGAGAATGATATATTACGAGATTGTAAGAGAGCGACAAACGCAATAAAATAGCCAACAAGTGAAATAGAAACAAAATTAGACAAATTACTATGTGCTGCAGTAAATAGGTATATATATATATATATATATATATATATATATATATTGGGTCGGCCCAAAAGCTCGGAGCAATTTTAACTGAATCTAAAAGACAATATTTTGTTATTTTCCACCTGTCAGACGAGAATGCCATCAAACGATACATTAATAAACAGCATAAGAATCATAACGACATTAGACAGCTTCTATGGCGCCAAACCCGTTCAGAAATATCTAAACTGTCAGTTGTACACAACCGCTGCCTAAAATCAATGGTGAAAAATGGCTTTGAAAGAGTAAACCTTGAGGGTCTTGTCAAAGATAATCATTGTTTGAATATTGTGGACATTGTGAGAATAGTGCACTGGCGCTACATAATCACAAACAAAGAACTGTACCAAATAACAGAAACATCACTTGAATTTTCTCCTTGTTTGAAAAGTATCATTGATAATTTGGAAAATTTCGAAATTTTGATACAAAATGTTTGTTGAATTTAATGATAGTTGCCCTGTCTACCTTCAATGTATCCTGCGAGTGTCTAATTCTCCTAGCTTTCTTTCTCCATTAAGTTAACTTGTGGCCTGGATTAATTTTATCAAAAAAACCCCAACAGGCGACCAGTTACGATATGCGATAAACTGTTCCCTTCAGGACAAAGCTTTTCACCAATAAGAAAACTTCCTCGACTACAAAACTGTCCTTATAAAGACAACGCCATTCTCACTTTCTAAATGAGTACACAGAAATATCTTGCCTAGTGCACTGTAATAAACAAACTTCAGCGACTACGAAACTGTCCTTTTCAAGACAACGATAAAACTGTGATTTTCTGAACAATCCTCATCAGCGACTAAAAAAACTGTCCTTTTCAGGACCACTCTCTTCTGCGACTACGACTGTCATTATCAGGACAACTCTATCATGACTCTCTACATGGGCATGCAGAGATATTTTTTGCCTACTACACTGTAATGAGCATTCTTCAGCGACTACAAAACTGTTCTATTCAGGGCGACGTTCTTTAGCGACTACAAAATGTCTTTATCAGGACAAGGCTCTTCATCATCTACAACCCCGACTTTTCAGGACAACACTCGTTAGTGACTTTAAAAGAGTCCAGTGACTACAAAACTCTCCTTTTTTAAAACAGCGCTCTTCAGCGACTGCTAAAGTGTGGATTCCGGGGATGGAATCCTACACAATTAAATAAACAACGCCAGTAATTGAAATAGAAAAAATATGTATATTAAACGTAAGAATACAAACTTGAAATGAAGATTAGTAGTCCAGGAATGCGGGTTAGTAGAAAAGTATATGAACAAGTCTCGCTAAGTGAAGCCGTAATTATCTCTCTTTCTGGACTCTCGTATAACCCTGAGTGAACACCCTTTCTCGACGTTTTTGTCACGTTATCTCTCCGTAGTATAAGTATTCTTTGGACGAGTCCATCTTGTGTACAAGGGGCGAGAGTCAAAATATAAAGTATCTTTTTCAGGACAATGTGCTTCAACGACTACAAAACTGCCCTTTTCAAGACATCGCGACTACAAAACTGTGCTTTTCAGGACAACGCTCTTCTGCGACTGCGACTGTCTTTATCTAGACAACTCTACTCTTACTTTTTACATGAGCATGCAGAGATATTTTTTGCCTAGTACACTGTAACCAACATTCTTCAGCGACTACAAATCTGTCCTTTTCAGGACAAAACTCTTTTGCGACCACGAAACTGTCCTTATCAGGACAATGCTATTCTCACTCTTTACATAAGCATACAGAGATATTTTTACCTAGTGCACTGTAACCTTATTTTTTATGTATTTTTTTTAAGCAAAATAAACTTGGCAATATATACTTTTCAAGTATTCCTTTTGTTTGTTGTCGTCCGTCAGTTAATATATGCGCGCCATTATACAACCCACAGCGGTCTCCTTTAAGGAAGAGGTGTATCAATGGCAAAACAACAATAGGGGTGGTGTATGAGTACTTCTTGGCGGGAAGAAAGAACGAAAAGTTCAAAGAGACAGTGGTGAGGGAGAAAAAAGAGAAGGGAAAATAACGAGAGAAGAAATGATATCCAAATTAACAATTTCTCCAGTTGCCATTTTATGTCTTCGATCGTATTTTTATCTTTTACTTTTGGGCCGACATTGTGACGAGCAAACTAAATAACGAGCCAATCATAAACAAAGAAGCTGCACGCGCATGTCAGCAATTGACACAGCCCACACTGACAGTCGTTTTAATCGCAGTATTAAAATTGTATGCTTTTACCTAAATAATGCACTTCTTGCTCGATTCATATAACAGACACGTTGAACCTAATCAGTTGGGTGGATGGAAATTTGGAATTTTTCAATTTATATTTAAGCTGTAATTAAGGAAGTTTTGACGAGACAAACTGGCTTCACCGGGAGTAAATATTATTTGGTAATGAGTAACGACAAAGTTGTCGAAAGTGTATAGAGAGTATGTTGCTTAAACTGCAAAAAAAGATTCATCATCACTAGGGTGATTATTAACTTATATATATATATATATATATATAAAAACATGGTATATTTCAGTGTTGCTTGCGTTTAGTGTAATATGCATGATTCTATATATCGGAAAATACAGGGGTTATCAAAAATAGTTTTACAATCTTTGGAGGCGGGTTCCTCACATCAAAACAACGACAAAAGTTCATATACAGATATGTCCGCACATTCTTCGTTTTTGAGTTAAGTTTAAACAAAGTTTACCGTAGATGGCGCTGTGTTTATATGAAGACTAGGTTACATTTGTCACTTGTGTACATTTGTGTCTGTTGTCAACGTTCAATGTGTGTAGTAGTGAGATAAATGAGAAGCGTTCTATTTAACAATGGCAGAATATTCATATCGTGAGGAGGTAAATATAATTTTTACATACGGCCTCGCGAATGGTAATGGACGCGAGGCTACACGTCTGTATCAGATTACATTTCCAGACCGAAGACAGCAGAGTCGCCCAAACTTTGCTGCTGTTTATCGTCTCGTTTCTGAGACATAATCCAGGAAGACCGATTGTATATTAAACAGCGTTTACCGTAAAGTTTAAACCTAATAACTTAAAAAAAAAACGAAAGATTTGCGGACATATGTTTATATAGACTTTTGTCCTTATTTTGGCGTAAAGAATTCGCTTCCAAATTTCGTAAAAGTATTTTGATACACCCTGTATATGATTGGCAGTTAGGTCTCATCCTTTTACTGTTATAATAGCTTCTCTGTGCAATATTTTCATGGTATTTGTTTTGTTGAACTTTTGCTTTTTGGTACAGAAACATTAGGAATCTAAGCGCACGACTAATGACTCATGTTACACTTGGCTAGAGGCAATCGTAAGTTCTACGTTAACAGTTTTTTCTCTCGTACAGCTCTCGTCCGGCTTTTTGCTTTATTGTCAACTTTTATCTTAAAAAGTTTAAATGGGACATCAGTTGTTATTTTCTGTTTTAATTCCTGCCCTTTTATTGTTCTCTCTCCTTAATAATTGTTGTGGACTCTGAAGAGGTCTGAAAGAAAACTCGAACTCAGTAATTCAGTGAAAACGTATTATTAACAAAAAGAACAAATACAGAATTGTTGCACGTCCGTCTGACGGCAAAGTACAGTAG